GGGGGGGGGGGGGGCGGGACTAGAGGGGGTGGGTGCAGAGTAGAGTTCCTAATTTCTTTCTACTATTTCTGTCCTCTGTTGTTCCATTCATCCATTTATTATCCCTGTCTTTCCTCTGCTTCTAGTATTTCTCTGCCTCCACGCATCTCCCTTAAGGGATTTTTGTTCCCTTCTATTCTTGTCTTGGTAGCTTTCTCATTTCCATTATTACTGCTTTGTTTCCTTCAGGTTTCAGCTGTTATTTTGCCCTTTCTCTTTCCACTTTTATTTTGACACTACAGAAAGCCAGATGTTCCTCACAGACTTCTGAAACTACCTCTGAATATTCTGTTCTCAGGAAACACATTTGTGAATGAAGCCTTTAACCTAAAGCTAAAGACAAAATTGGTTGGTTTCAGTCTCACATAATAACAAAAGATTACAAATATTGGCCTGAACACAGGAACAGTTATTCATTAAGGAAGGTCAGTCAGATCTACTCTAACCTCTGTGGCTGCTTCAGAAGCACACTTCAAGGAGCATTACTGAAGCAAGAGATGCAGTCTAAAAGCAGCTTCCTCTGTATTTGTGTTTTAAAGACAAGACTTTTGCCAAAATCAGTCTCGTTTTTAGGAAATTCTGATACAATATTTTATACCAGCTGAAATTGGTGTGTTCTGGCTGGCTAGAACTAATATACCCGTATTGTTAGAAGTCTCATTGTTTTAGCAAAAACTTTAAAAGAATTAAAAATTATCTTTTTGTGCAACTGATAAATCTATTTTCCAAGCAGTTTTATTAGGCTGACTTTTATCTCTTGTAAGAAAACTAGCAAAAGAGCTCTCAAGGTGGAAGACTTTTTTTTCATTAGGTCTCATTCCTCTCATGTCTGAGGCTCCTGATTACATTTTTTTAATAAAAAGCAGGCAGGTTTATCCCTATCTTCCTGAAAGCAATATTGCACACAGCCATGCCTGAAGCTTCACACCCTCCTGCCTCCTTTACTGTGAACCAACACCCTGAAGACAGAGTGGCTTCTTACACCCTGATCTGTGGTGGTTTGGACTTGCTGTTCAAAAACCACCCGGGTGACCCCAAAACTTGATACATAGTTGCACATGGTAATTCTTCAGGAAAATTGGGAGAGAAAATTGAGTATATTGGGGGGAGAGGGGAAATATAAATCTCTGTTCTGACAACAGCGTAGCTAAACAGACAGTACTCAAATCCATCTATGTTACAGCCTGTGTGCCTTATCTATCTTGTCATTGTGCTATTACTGCTAGGTACTGTGAAAAGAGTCTATGAAACTCCTTGATCTCAATTTGCAACTAGAGGGTTGCTCACACAGTTTGTTGCTCAACTAAACACCGAAGTACGTAGTAAGCTTCATCAGAGCAGAGGCTGCCTTCCATTTCCTGCTAACAAAACCAGTACTCTCAAAATGGAAGAATATTTTTATGACCTTTCACTATTAGAGACTGTAGCATCAACACTTCAAACAAACTGATATATGCCATAAGGAACAAATTGTGATCTGTATTTGTATTTTGCATACAAACTCTCCTACGTGGTGGTTCTCCATCTTTCAGGGCCAATGGATTACTGTTGAGTGGTCAATATCTATCCAAGTTCCTTATTTTTATTTTATTAATTTATGTCTGTGGAATAACTGCAGCCTGCTTACAATAATCTCCGCAGGCCACTGCTCTAAAATAGAAAGCTTTTTTGGATATGGTGTGTTTGCACGAGGATACAAGTTATGTTTTTCAAGATTAAAACCAAGAAAGTTGACTGGGGAAAGGGGCCGTTCACTGTGAAACTGAAGCAATATGTTAGTAACTGAACAGTAAAAACCTGTAACTGTTCTTCTAAAAACAGAAGTAAAGTACTGGTGGTGCACATGTCATCTCAAGTATTCAAAGTGCTCTACTGCCAGGAGTACTTAAGGCAACTTGCCTCTTGAAGCCAAAAGTTGACTATTGTTTAAACTGTACAACTTTAAAAACTATAAATGCATGCAACAAAAATTATAATTTTGGAAAGAACTGATATTAATGAGAGGAAATTTCTATCCTCTAGGAGGAAAAAACTGCCATGAGAATGTCGTCAGAGGAACACGCACTTGGAACCAGAGTGGCAGCAGAGATATTTCTATATAGTAAAGATAATGCAGACCCAACAACAGAAATCATTTGATTTGAGTTAGAATACATCTGCTAGGGCTTTCATTTTATATCATTAGTATACAAACCAGCTAATATCATACCAACCCTCATAAATACAGAAGAGACCATATGTTTAACCATAGGATATTACTGCAGCCTCTGCCACAAGCGTTTGTTGAGCATGATTTATGGAACGATACGCAAGCTATATAGGAAGAACAAATTCATCCTTGATTTAATTCTAAGGATTTTCAGCTTTTATGCAATGCATTACCAAAGAGAATATTATAAGCTGAGGGAAGCTAGTGCACCGATTATATGAGATTAAACAAAGATCTTAAACATGGAAAGTCATTATGGGTTGCTAGCCAAGGTGAAACTGATTTCAGGCTTTGCCACTCTTTGGAGCAACAAGATCTGCTGCAGAGGCTACCTAGAATTTGCCTTTATTTTAAAGGCGGTGGAATGAGGCCCTGGTATGTAATGAAATAAGGGGGGGAAAAAAGGTTCCTCTGTATTCACAAGCAATCTCTCTGGGCAATTATGGACAGGTGCTGAAAGGTTCTACAGGAAAATTATTTTGGTCTTCTTGAAAACAATAATAACGACTCATGCAGCAAGCTGTCGCAAATTCTCAAACTGTTTACAAACTTGCCTACAACAGAAGCATAGTCTTGTCTAAAAAGCAATGCTGGGCTCATTCCACACCAGCTTCTCTGAACAGCTTTTAGCTGATGCCCTGAAGTTTTTATTTTTAGAAGCCAAAACAGAGTTAGCTACATCTAGACTTTGACCAGAACAATGAGATTAATAGTCCTTCTTTGTGAATAGAGACAGGAAATATACAAAAACTAAATCCTACTGTCTTGTCTTCTACACCCACGTGAAAAGAGAGACCTTGACTACATCATTATAGTTTTACCTAATTCTGATAAAATCTGATAGTTATGCCTTGTGCCTGACCCCAGCAGCTTCTAATTTGAACCCTTTTCCAAAGGTTCACCACTGCTTTAAAGGAGTTAAGTACGTACTTATCCTCATTTTACAATCTGAAAAACTGAGGCACTGCAACCGCTTCTTGCCATGGAAACTTCTAGTTAAAGTGAAAGATGCGTGTGATCTGCAAAGAAACTACTCATTTACCTAAGGCACAGGAAGTGCTGATGTCAAACCCCTGAGCTGAATTCAGGAACTGCCACCCTCTTACCCTGGTTGTGAACCACAGCTCCTTGCCCTCCAGATCTGCAACCTAGATCCTACCGCCACATCTGACAGGCTGGCTGGGTCTTTGGCAGCCCGAGGGGGGTTACAGATTCCAGAGATGGGTACGGAGTATTACAGACGGATTTCTGGGAACTCTGTTTTACGGTGGCTGTTTAATACCAGGAGAGCTGTAGTTTGTGAAGGAGGAAGAGGCAAGAGAAATTCACCGAGCACTTTCTAAGGAAAAATCAAATACCATACTTCCTAAATTCACATGGCATTTGTCAGAAGCTCCAAGCAAGTGGCAATCAGTGTGACACTACTTAATTTACAATCTTTAGATTAGAAAAAAAAAAAGGCAGAGGTAATATGGCTGCATTTGTAGGCATGAATAACGCTCTTTCTAAAAGCCAGCGGCACATCCTTGGATCCCTGTGTCTCCCACAAACAATGAAACGGAGATTATAAAATAATCTCCCCAACCTATTACCCCAACAACTGCCTCCATTATGCAGACTGGGAGAGCGTCCTGGGGGTGCCTTATATAACTCCTTGCTCCGAACCCCCCCCCGGCACTCGGGGAATTGCTCTTTCCTCTGCCCCGCTGGCTCCCAGAGCCCGGAGGGCGGGGCGCCGTGCGGGGAGCGCGGCGGGGCTGAGCGGCCGGCAGCCGGGCTGGGGCAGAGCCGGCGGGCGGGGCCGGACGGACGGACGGCGGCAGCAGCGCAGGAGCCGCGCAAACTTTGCGCCGCAGGGGCAGGGGGCCGGGCAGCGGCCACAGCGGCGACGGGGAAGGGGAGGGGGGGGAAAGACACGACTCGGCGGAGCCCCTCTAGCCGCCCCGACCGAGCACGGAGGGGAGGAAGGCGGCCGATGAGGAAGTTGCACCAGTCGCCTCTCCCCGCACGGGCCTCCGGGGGCAGAGGGGCGGCAGTAGGGGGCTGCACAGCGCGCAGCTGGGGCGACTTACCCATGGTGCCGCCGCGGCCTCCTCCTCCTCCTCCTCCTCACCCTCCTGCTGCTGCTGCTGCCGCCGCCTCTCCGCTGGCGCGGAGGGAGGCGCGGGAGGCGTGTGCGGGGAGCGGGGCGGGCGCGGAGCCTGCGTGCGGCGCGGCTATGAGTCAGGGTAGCACATCCGGGCAAGGCCGCCTGGGAGACACCCCGCCCGGCGGCACCCTGCCGCCGCCGCCGCCGGGGAAGGGCGGGCAGCCACGGAGGCAGGAGGGAGGTGCGGGGCCGGCGGCAGCGCCCCCGGCTGGGGAGGAGACAGCTGAAGGGAAAGGGGGAGGCGGGTCCCCGCGGGGAGCGGCAGCTCCCGCCTCTCTCCACAGCCGCGGGCCTCCTTTGTTAGAGGGGCTGGGGTGGGGCAGGGCGCTGAGGGAGCCGGTGCGACCGGTAGTAACGGCTGCGAGCGCGCGCGCGGCGCGGTAACACCTCAACCTCCCCTCACGCTGCGGGCGCCTCAGCCTGCTCTTCTCTCCCCTCACCACCCCCGGGTCCCGCGGGGAGATGGGGCTGAGGTTTTACCCACGGGGCGCTGGGCAGGGTTTTTTGTTTGGTTTTGGGTTTTTTTTTGCCACACCGCAGCGTCCCGCAGCGCTCTGTAGTGCCGCCGCCGCCGCCGGGGAAGGGCGGGCAGCCACGGAGGCAGGAGGGAGGTGCGGGGCCGGCGGCAGCGCCCCCGGCTGGGGAGGAGACAGCTGAAGGGAAAGGGGGGGAGGCGGGTCCCCGCGGGGAGCGGCAGCTCCCGCCCCTCTCCGCAGCCGCGGGCCTCCTTTGTTAGAGGGGCTGGGGTGGGGCAGGGCGCTGAGGGAGCCGGTGCGACCGGTAGTAACGGCTGCGAGCGCGCGCGCGGCGCGGTAACACCTCAACCTCCCCTCACGCTGCGGGCGCCTCAGCCTGCTCCTCTCTCCCCTCACCACCCCCGAGAGAAGGGGCTGAGGTTTTACCCACGGGGCGCTGGGCAGGGTTTTTTGTTTGGTTTTTGTTGTTTTTTTTGCCACACCGCGGCGTCCCGCAGCGCTCTGTGGAAGGAAAGAAGGCTGCGGTTGGTGCTGCGGGCCGGTGAGGGAGAGCGGCGGGGCTGGAGAGGGCCGCGCCCCGCTGCGCGGTGGCTGGGCGGGAAGGCGGGCAGCAGCCGCCGCCTCCTCCAAGTGCCTTCAAAGGCTTGAGCTCCGGTCAGGGTCCATCCCCGCCGCCGGAGCGGGTTTGGGGTGGTTGGAAAATGGGGAGTATTTGGCCGGAGGGGGTGGTTTAGGCCGGGTGGAAGAGCAGTTTTGGGGTGGGCTGCGTGAGGTAAAGAGTCAGAGGAGGAGACCGGCAGGTGAAGTCCCGTGGCTGTGTGTTTTGCCGAACCTCCGTTGTGAGTTTCACACCCGAACCTGAAAGGCTTCTGCACAAGGTAGTTATGTGTGGAAGGCATTTTTTTTTAACAAGAAAATGCATCTCTGTTTTCAGCGTTCCCCTTTTCTGCCCCGGGATACTCTATAGCACAAGAAACAATGAGGACTGTTTGCCGTTACAGTCCTTTCATTATAGCTGGGAACCATTTTGGAGCAGGGTTGAAATTAATTGAGTACCTCTTGTAGTATTGCAAGAAGAAGTTGTGAATGGTCAGCCCCTGCAGTGGCTTCACAAGTGACACCAGTCGTCTCTTTCAACCAGCACCTGCTAGGGGTTTCCTCTCTGGAAGAGGTCCCAGGAGCTCTCATGCTTGTAAAAGGGCAGTGTGATGTGACAAGCAAAGAATAATTTGTCAGTCCCTCTGCAGAGTACAAACTGAACATCTTGGCGTTTGCCCGTTTACTTTGGTGTAGCCCAATGATTCACCAGCTCTTTCCTTAGGACATCGGCAGAATTTTGCAGTTGACTTCAGCGGAGTTCGCCACAGTCCCAGTATGCAGAACTTGACACTGAAGATGTGTAATATTATGGTCAGCTGATACTGACAATGTGTATGTTTTTACAATTGCTAGACAACTAAAACACTTTTGTTATTGTTTACATTACACCGTGACTGCAGAAAATTCAAACCAGAGCATGTTGGGTTTTTTTTTAACTGGAGGGCTTGCCTAATTCAGTACCTAATAAAGTACAGGGATTCTTAAATGAATCTAAGTGGTGAAAAGTTGTCTTTTTCTTCTTCCATCTATTTTCAAATCTTGTCTGAAATTTGTCGTTGTCCTATCTTTTTGCCTCCTTATTTCTTTCTTATGCTCAGCTGTAAGCTTTGCTTTGGCTTTATAACTGTGTCCCAAATGTTTCCTCTACTTGTCTGTGGAAAAAGGCAGTGAAATTCTGTTCTTACTGATTCATCTCTGAGGGATCATGGAGGAGATATTCCACATATTATTCCATGTTATTTTCCACTTGGATACCTGGGATAAATCAGAGAAATCTGTAAAATGACCAAGTTTCACAAATTTACTTGCATGTCCTAACTGAAATGCATACATATATCTTTGCAAGGGCCAGAAAGCAAGGACTGTTACCTGCTCTGAGAGAGGATTTTGAGGACAGTGACTTCTAAAGAGTTCTCCTTTTAGAAACATGGCAGAAAGGGGCCTGGCTTCTTTATAATTGTTTTTTGGTGGATCCAAAAGAACTGTTTAAAACTAGGGAGACTTTTTGATCTTTTGACTGAATACTTGTAAATTCTAGGAGAGAAAGAGAAAACTCTGAAGGAGATAAGAACTTCATTTTTGTCAATCTCTCAATTCAAGCTTACAACAGAACAAAGGGGCTCTTGTAAAAAAAATAATCCAAATAAAGCCCTGCCATTCTTGCAGCTTAATGCGAGATCCTGCATGTATGGCTACTCGTGGTATAGTGCAAAAGGGAGAGGAGGCTTTATGAGAGGAATTTCTGTCTCCAAGAGACTACAGAAGAGTTTGGGGCCATCAGGCTCTAAA